AGATAAGTGTGCTGGTCCTGCCCATTCTCCTCCCACCCCAATTCAGAGGTAACCATTTAAAAAAAATCTTACTTCATTGTGGTGGCACGTGCCTGTCATCTCAGCACACTGGGAAATCGAGGCAGGAGGATCACAAGCTTCAGGCCAGCCTGAGCAATTTAGTGCTGTAGTGAGAGATCCAGTCTCAAAATTAAAAAATATATAAAAAGGCTCAGGGGAAAGGCTCTGGATTCAGACCCTGGTACTGCAAACCACAAGAAAACCCCTGGTGGTTGGCTACTGAACTTACAGGGTCAATCTCTACATTCTTTTTTTTTTTTTAGTCTCCACATTCTTGCAACTTTTCTAGTCTATTGTCCATGTCTTTATTTTTTTTTTTTAAACTGGAGTAACTCCTGGGCTTTTCTTTTGAAATCTGTCTCCTTCCTTCCTTTCTTGCTGTACTGTGTGTGTGTGTGTGTGTGTGTGTGTGTGTGTGTGTGTTGTGTGTGCACATGCGCACTGGGCCCTGAACACAGGACCTCGTACATGCTAAGAAAGTGCTGTCGAAGTGAGCTACCACCCCAGCCCTTTTTTGTTGGTGGGGGGCAGGGTCTTGATAAATTGCCGAGGCTAGTCTCAAACTCTCGATCCTCCTGCCTCAGCCTTCTGAGTAATTAGGATTACTGGTGTGTGTGGCCAATCCTGGACGGTTCTCGCTCCTTTGCTGTCCTTCAGCAGCCTTCTGGGAAGGTGTGTAGATGTGTGTTGTGATGAACCAGGGTCCCTCTGGCCGTTTTCCCCAGAGGTCCTCCATGTCCCTCCAGCAGCAGAGTGGAGGATGGGCAGGAAGGGAGAGGTAAGAGAGGACACCAGAGTGGATGGGTATCCAACTGTGGCAGCAGAGGAAGGAGGGAGGAAACATCAAGGAAGTAGAATGAAAAGGCTCCTAGTAGCAGAGAGGGAAGAGTCCAGGATGCCATGTCAGTCTGACTTAGGTGGCAGGGTGGCTGGTTGTCCCTTCCATGCAACCAGGAATAGAGAAGAGGAGCAGATGGGGTGGGGCCAGGTGTAACTTGAGAGAGTTTGGGAGCCAGAGGGACCTCCAGGTGGAAACCTTACAGGCAGGGGCTGTGGAGCCTGAGTCCAGCTGGGCAGCCACAGCGAGGGCCAGGTACCGAGAGCAGAGCGGCCCACACTGAGATCACCCAGCTGTGGGGAAGGGGAAGCCACGCAGAGAGCAGAGGACAGCTGGTCACTCACAGTGAAAGGGATACATCCGTCCTCTGGCAGTGAGACAAGGAGTGAAAGCGAGGGGCCTGCAGTCCAGCCCTTTCCTCGTAGCCCCTGACTGGTGACCACACAGGCTCTGAGGTGAGCCAGAAGCGATACTTGTCCCCAAGGGCCTTGATCTGAGCTCAGCAGCCCCCAGCTCAGAGCTGGGCCAGGGCTGCCCCATAGGCCCAGCAGCTGTGGCTCTGAGGCCCAGCTGTGGGAGGCAGATTTTCAAGTTCTTAAATGTCAGCATGGCAGCCTCAGATCTGACACCTCGGAGAGTATCCGGGAGCCCTCTGGCTGTGCCCTCAGATCTGCCTGGACATAAACGTCAGCAGTAACCTTAACTGCTCTTGAGCCAAGGGAGGTGGTACCCATGGATCTTGTCCCTCGAATGCTTTCCCCATCTGCACAACCGTAAGAGATGGGAACCATGCCCATTTTATGGGTAAGTATACTGAGGCTCGGAGAAGTTATGTGACTCGGCTGAAGTGGAATCAGCCCATGTCTACACTGGACACAATCCCAGGTTAGAACCCTGAATTGGAGCTGGCTGTGACCTATGTTCCTGCCTTGTGAGAGCCTACCCTACACTTGCCCACTTCAGTTGGTGGAAGCTGAGTGTGCCACCAGCACCCCTCTCTCTTCCTGAGCTCTTCTAGACTCCCCTGGAGGCTGCAGGAATTCTGATGGATTAATCTCATCACTTTATCGAAGAGGCACTTACAGAAATTACAAGGCAGGCCACCAGCCTGGCTTTGCTGGCAGCCGGCCGTGGGGGCCATAAGACAAATTAAAAGGCACAAAAATAAGTAAAATTAGAATTCTCTCTCTCTCTCTCTCTCTCTCTCTCTCTCTCTCTCTGTCACACACACACACACACACACACACACACACACACACACAGGGTCAAGAACATTGCTTGTGACTTGCCCTTGGCACTTGGTCCTCTCCTTATGGGAGGCAGCAGGGTCAAACCCACACACCCTCTTGATCCCTGCTCTGAGCTACACCCTGTGGTCCGTCCTCCCTCCAGGGATGGCCAGCTGCTGTGCAGGAGGGAGCAAGACACTGGAAGTGAGCTGTGTGATGGTGTCCCAAGCGACATGTGTTACTGTACCACCTAGGTCACTACGCAGCCACCAGGCTCATTCCTCAGCCGTCCCTCAGCCTGGCCCTGCCCACCTTTATCATGTATATGACGGGCAAGTAGAGGGTTCCCTCCAGGGTTGTGGGCAAGGTTAAAGACCCAGTATTCGTGAAGCATGACCACAGCGACCCTTCATCTGTTAGCCCTCAGTGGGTACTGAGCACTACTGTGTCAGGTGCTTTGAGTACAGAGGAAGCCAGTCTGGGTGGACCAGACACGGTCAGTCAGTGGGGACATCAGTGGTGAGGGAAGGAGCACCTTGCAAGAGGGACCAGGAGAGGTGGCCAGGCGGCCCAGGGTCAAGGGGACCTGGTGGGCTTGTTCTCGGCTGCAGCAGCAAAAGCCAGTAGGCCTAGGTGGTGCCTGAGTTCCAGGAAGTGACAGCTGTGCAGACGGTAGTGGAGAACTCAGGACAAGCAGATTGGAAACAAGAGCGAGGGATGGGGTGGGGACGGGGGCCGAGTTCAGCTGCGCCTCTGAGCCAGTGCGAAGACTTGGATGAGCTCATTGATATGCGTGTGTTTTCCTCTCTTCTTCTCTTGATCATTTCACCGCGCTTATGCGAGTATTGAAATTATTTCCCAGAAAGCCACACAACTGAGTACTCTCAAGAAATGATTAGAATTGGATAAGATCGGGCTAGGGGCACAGAACCTTCACCTTTCCTCTTCCTCATCCCTTCCGTCCTCCAGCAGAGGGGTCAACCTCCAGCCCCTCTGCACAAGAGGTGGGTAGGGAGAGAGCCTCAGGATCTCCAAGGTGCTCTGGGGAGCCAGTAGGTTGGGGTGAGGATGATCCTGAGCCGGGGGGCATGCCCTATTCAAATAGTCGTTGGTCATGGGGCCCCGGATGTCACTCTTTCAAAGCCTTTTGCCATTTGTGGCACATGGCCCATACATACTTGTTCCCAGAAAACACAGTAGAAAGTGGTCTCCGTATCCCATGTGGCAGGGACACCCGTGGGTGCCCTTTTCATCTCCTGGTCACCAGATCACCTCAGCTGCTGGATTAGTGACCAGGATCTGTTCTTGGAGGGGCAGTGCACTTCTGATTTCCGAAAGCTGCTTGTGAGATGCAGGCGTGGCACAGGGGCTTTGGGTGGCCTCAGGTAACTCACTTCAGCGGTGTGAGTCTGTTTCTTGGTATGTGAAGTGGTGCCTGATGTACCCAACTCAGGGCTGTGGTGAGAATGGAGGGAGCTGATGCAGATGAGGTGCACAGGTGCACAATAAACCCTGGCTGTTACTACTGTAATGGGGGTGTATTCAAAGGAGAGGGAGGCCTTTGCTCCTTCCAGAGGGCAGTGTCTGGGGGAGGAGGGCAGCTGGAAGGAGAGAACCCCCCCCTCATTGCCTTTCTTCCTGGCCCCAGACACGTTACAGGTCCCTAGTGCTTGTGGGCTAGATAAGTCATAGGAAAGGGTACATAGGGTGGACGCTGTACCCTCCATAGAAAGGCAGCCACAGCTTGAAAACCATCCTGGGAAAGAGGCACTGAAAAGCGGGAAGGGCCTCTGGGAGCATTGGGAGGAAAGTCACAGCCTTCCCAAGGCCTACATGGTCACACTGCCAGAGTGTGCCCCTCAGCCTTCCTGCCTGTACAGCGGGGAGATGCTGGTACCATGGGTGGTGCAGGGAGCGCCTGATACGGCTGCCCCCTGGGGGCGGGCAGCGCCCGACCTGCCTTCCAGAAGACCTCAGCTTCTTGGGAACATAGGCTGGACTCACCGTTGGTACATTATAACCCATCTAAGGGGTGATGTGGAAAATTAATCACAAATTCCCTCTCCCACAATGAACTGTGCTTATAATCACTTCATGTTGACAAGCACTTTATTTCTGCCAGGTTTTTTTCTTTCTTGGTGCTAGGGCTCAAACCCAGGCCTTGGCACATGCTAGGCAAGCATTCTACCTCTGAGCTATACCTCCACTCCTTTTTATTTTTTATTATTTATTTTTTAAAATTTTTAAAATTTTTTTCTGCAGTACCGGGGATCCAACTCAGGACTTTGTGCTTGCGAGGCAGGCGCAGTGCCACTGAGCTTCATCTCTGGCTTTTATTTTTTATTTTGAGACAGAGCCTCACTAAGTTGCTCACTCTAGCTTCCAATTTGTTATCCTCCTGCCTCAGCCTCGTAAGTGGCTGGAATTACAGGTGCACACTGGGTCACAGTGTTTTAAAGGGAACTTTCCATACAATGACTTGCTTAACCTTTAGTTAGGAGCTAGTAGCGCATTGTTTTGCAGATGAGGAAACAGACTCCGTGAGGAGGTGAGCACAGCTGGTGGCTCTGGGCCGCCCAATGGGGGCAGAATCTGGGTCCTGACGCCACGGGCTCAGTGTCCCTGAGTCTTTTTCTCGCATGGGTTGGGGCTGGCAGTGGAGGAGCCGGAGGTGGTGATGGAGGTCTGGTCGGCACCGGGGCTGTTCTCTTCTTGGGATAAAAGCCAGCTCGGTGAGCTTCGATGTCCCTGAGCAGCAGTGGCTTTGTAACTGGGAGTGACCATTTTCTGGAGCCTGATTTTCCCAGCAGCTCCTATGCAGGGAAGACTTGAACTGTCATGAGGAGCCTGACAACCCTCTCTGTCTGTTGCAGGGAACATCGAGTACAGCTGCCCAGCCACCAACGAGTGTGAGATCACAAAGCGGAGGCGCAAGTCCTGCCAGGCCTGCCGCTTCATGAAATGCCTCAAAGTGGGGATGCTGAAGGAGGGTAAGGGCCCCACCCGCGGCGCTCACCCACCTTGCTCCTCTCCCTCTGGCCGTGGGCCTCCCCTGGGAGGTGCACATGCGCATGCATCCTGCAAGTCCACCCCGAATCCCTGGTTGCTCCCTCCAGGTGCCGGTGTCTCCCCCACACTCTGCGCTCCAGCCCACAGCCCACACGCGCTGCTTTTTACCTTTCTTAGTGTGGCTACTAGCAAACCTAAGATGACGTGTAGCTCGTTATGTGCCCAGCTGCTCTGTCTAGGTCCCCTCCGCTTCACCCTTTTCTCTGCCCTCCTTCCCTTTCCTCCCCTCTCCTCCACTTTTCTGAGTCTGGGTCTAAACTTTCCACCTTCCTGCCTCAGCCTCCCAGCTGGGATTACAGATGTGTGTCACCATGCCTGGCTTTCGATTTCCCCTTCTCGGAACTACTCAGTTTGATGAACCTTGTTCAGGGTCACTCGGGGTGTTAGTGTAGGTGTGCATTTCCTCATTTCTCTGCCTGCCAGGGGAGCCCACTAGTGGGAGGCCTGCAGAAGCCCAGCCAGCCTTCAGGAGCACTTTAGGGTGCTCCTCTGCTCCCTCTCCTGGCACCCTCAGGGAAGGGCCTGAATTAATGATGCAGCTTTAGTGAGAAGAGTTGGACTTTTATGCTGTAGAAATGGAGGCTCCCACTTCCCTTCCCGTTCCAGGTCCCCTCTGTACCTATAAAGTTCTTGAAGAAGGGTCGGAGTCACCCTTTCGTCTACATAGCATGCTGACTTTTATTTTATTATTTTTATTTTTTGGTTTTTTGAGACAGGGTCTCTATGTGTACTTTAAGCTGCCCTTGAATTCACTATGTAGCCCAAGCTGGCCTCAGACTTATGGCAATCCTCCTGCCTCAGACTCCTGAGTGCTGGGATTACAGGTGTGTGCCACCACGCTCAGCAGCATGCTGGCTTTCAGAATGCATCTCATTAGTCACTTAATTTGACCCCTTCTTGATGGAGACACATTTCCTTGAGGGCTCCACTGAGGAAACAGCCCTCTTTCTGGGTGAAAATGAGCTGTGTTGGATCTGCTGAAAGACTGTATGTTGGTTTTTCTTCTTCTTTTTTTCTCTCAGTGTGGGGGATTAAACCCAGGGCCTAAAAGCATGCTAGGCAGGCACTCTACCACTGAGCTACAGGCCTAGCCCAGGGTTGGCTCAGTTTGATTCTTCACGGTTTGAGTGTGAGTGTGTGTGTATGTGTGTGTGTGTGCGCGTGTGTGTGTGTGTGTGTGTGTGTGTGTGTGTGGTACTGGAGACTGAACCCAGGGCTTTCCCACTGACTGAACTATATCTCCATCCCTTTTTCTTTCTTCTATTGAGACAGGGTCTTGCTAAGTCACCAACTTGTCCAGGCTGAACTCAAATTTGGTATCTTCCCACTTCAGCCTCTCAGAATGCTGGGATCACAGACGTGTGCCCCCATGCCTGGCTGACTCTTCACAGGCGTATGGGCTGTAAGCCAGCTAGTGGCTCCCACACTAGGCTCTCTCTGCTCCTTCAGAGCCTCCTTGTGTCCCGGATGAGGAAGCAGGCATGAGGGTGTGGCGAGGCGAGCCTTAGTGCAGTGCTCTTGCCTGGTGCCTCTCAGAGGGACCCTGTCTCTGCCACCTTGATTTGCAGGCAGGGTGAGGACGAGGTCGGGCTGGGGCTGGCTGTCCAGGGCCTCTCCTGCCTGGAGTGTGCGACCTCGGAGGAACTTGGAGCAGAAGGAAGCCTTGTTATCAGTGCACCTCTGAATGTTAAGGGTGACATTGGGCCCTGTGGTGGTTGGGGCGAGATGCCTTCCTGGCTACACACCAGCCTGAGGGGAGCTGGGCCTGGCACAAGGGTTCCTGGGTGGGGGGCTGCTGCTCACTCCCTGGACTATGGCGAGGCCCTCCAGTGCCGGAAAAGAGGGGGACATGCTCTAACAGCTTCGCCGAAAGTGGCACATGATGCGGGGGTGGAGGACACTGACAGCAGGAGATGGGGCGTCTGAGTGCTTGGGTGACAGGCCGTACTGTGGCACTAGGAGTGGAGCTTGTAAGAGAAGCAGGATGGACCGGGATAATGGTGGGGGAGCTGGCAGGGTCAGGGCTGAACTGAGTGACCCTGTCCCTGCTGTAAGTTGTCCCGTGGCTGATGGCTTCTAGCTAAGGTGACGCCCAGCTGTTCTGACCACTGGGCAGATGTGCTGAGCATGAAGAGGCCTGTTTAGCCACTCTGCCTGGGACAACCCCTTCCCGTGCTGGCCCAAGTCCAAGAGGGGACAGATGACACAAAGCCTCCAGAGCGTGGGGACGGCAGCCGCCTCTGTGAGCGGCCCGCTGAGCCTTGGCGAGATCTGGGATCTGACTCTCCGTGGGGACCAGCCCCTCAGGAGCAGCCTCGTCAGGAGCCTGGGTCCCTGCCAGTAGAGCTTGGCAGCCGCGTGGCTCTGCCTTTGTTTGGGTGTCCTCCTGGCTCTGCACACAGGGCCTGGCCCCTGGGACGGCTCAGGTGCCTGCCTGTCTTCCCTCCGCCTCCCCCTGGGCTCAGAAAGGCAAACTTCACCTTCTCTGGGGCTGCTCCCCTCCTAGGGTCCCACAGTGGGCCTTGGGCTTTGGGGAACCCTGAGTCTTATGGGAAGGAAGAGTGAGAAGGCCACCTGTCCTCTTCCTCCTCTGTCAACTACACATCTAAACTTGCTTCCCTCTGCTCAGCACCTTGAGATGTCTTCTTTCTCTCTCTCCTTCTCCCTCTCCCTTTTCTCCTCCCTGTCCCTCTCTTTTACTTATTATTTATTATTTATTTGAGATAAGAGGTCATTGTGTATTCCAGGTTGGCCTTAAACTCACTGGGTGGCCCTGATCCTCCTTTCTCAGCCTCCCTCCTGCTGGGATTACAGGCATGTGCCACCATGCCCAGCCTCTACTACTTTTCCTTTCTTTGGTAAAATAATCTGGAGACCGTTTCATGACTTTGGGGCCCCAGCAGTCACCAGGGTGAGGGTCAGCTGTGTGGCTTCCTAGGTCTCAGGGACCTAAGCTTATCAGATTCCTCAGCTGGTTGGGGACTGGTCCTAGGCTCTGTGTGCCTGTCCAGAGCAGGCTGTGGACAGCTTTGTCTTTCTGTAAGCAAATCCAGGATATGAAAATCTGTGTTTTCAGGGGAAGAAGTAATCTTTCTCTTTGCTACTCATTTTTTTTTTTTGGTACCAGGGATTGAACTTGGGTCCTTGTGCTTGCAAGGCAGGTGGCAGAACCACTAAGCTAAATCCCCCATGGCAATCTTTCTCTTTATATACAAAATACAGTACAAAAATCGGAACTGGGTTGGGATTCATGGCCTGCAGGGTCTTCCTGGTTCTCAGCACAGCTGCTGTGTGATGCTACTTTTCACACCCACGGAACCCCATCTCTTCACCTATCAGGGATGTTGATACCTGCCATCCGTCACCGGCTAAAGGTGGGCGTCCAATGGGACAGCGCCTCCTGGCAGAACCCATTGTGGCACTGCTTTGACACATCAGTTCCCTGGGAACATTCAGTGTTTCATTCAAAGATAGCTTCAGCTGAGCATGGCGGCAGCACTCTGGGAGCCTGAGGCAGGAGGATCAAACGTTTCAGCCCAACTGGGCAACTTAGTAACTTATTAAGATGCTGACTCTAAATAAATTAATAAAAAGGGCTGGGTATGTAGCTCGGTGCAGAGAACCTGAGTTTAACTCCAGTACTGGAAGAAGAAGAAAAAAGGTGGCCTCATTCCCACTCGGCTTTTCAGTATTCTGCCCATTGTGTCCAGTGATGCAAATGTGTCTCCAGCTGCCCTGATTTTCTTCCTGGATTTACTGGTGGGAATCTTAGATAGTGGCATTGTCTTGGGCTAGCCCCCTCTCTGGGTTCTAGAATCAGAATGGGAGGGTTCCCTGCAGGTTGAGCTTCACAGCCTGGTTAGAGTGTGGACTGACTCAGCCTCCAGTCCCAAGGAACCCTGGAAACCTTGTTTGTTGCATTTCCCGGGGTGCAACCCAAATCTTCAATCAGTGCTGGATTTCAGCCACTCTCCCTGGAACTGCAAACTTCACCTTCTCCTTTTCTGGCTTCACCTCCCTCCAGCCACCAGCCCCTCGGGCTGCTGCTTCTCACCCCCAGCCCCTGCCTGCTGCTCCGCAAGTGTTTTCTAAAAGATATTTGATTTCAGCAAGAGCTAGGCTGCCGTCCACACAGTGTGCGCTCCCTGTCTCTTTGTGCTTGTCGGGAAGGCGCAGGCCTCCTCCGGGGATTCTGGGTAATTGGGTTAGTGGCCAGCTCATGTCAGGAAATTAAAAGGAGGCCCTGATCAGGTTTCTGCTGCATGGGATTTAATGGCTTTGTATTTATAGAGTATTCTGCCTCTAGCCCATGCCAGAAATACCATTTTTCTGGCCCTGTGAATGAAGAAAGAGAATAAGAGATGACTTGTTTTTAAAAATTCTTTAAAACACATTAGTGTTTTTGAAACAAACCCCAGCTCTTCAGCACTTCAGAGAATAGCACTGAATGACAGCTGGAGAACTCTTAACGCATGCTCCTGTCCCCAGAACTGCTTTCCGTCCTGCACATGTGCAGTCCCCCCACCGTGTCTGGCAGCTCACACGATCGTAATCTCCGATGCCCTGAAGTCCCTGGGCCACTCAGGAACAGTGACCTCTAGCTGGAGAAGCGTGTTGAGTCTTTACCTGTTCACTCGGGGCATTTGGTGTTCAGGCATTGGATAACAGGTTCAGGGGCATTTAGACCTGCTAAAATCCCTGCTACACCATTGGCCAGCTTTTTGGGCACGATGCTTACTCATCTGTAAGCCTCTTTTCTCTTTCACAACATGGGAACATTAGTGGCCATTTTCATCATATTTCCCATCTCTGGGGACGTCCCTAGGGTTGAACCATGAAGTCTGATATTGATCATTGATCTGAGATAGATATTCTCCATCATATTGTAATATTGATTTTCTTTTTATTCTATTTTTAGTTG